TGCTAGTCATCTAGTTCCATCTGTGCATTTGGGGGAGAGTTGACATGCTCTGTCTTCTCCCAGGTTTTTACCTTTAACCCTCATATGTAGATACATTTCTTATAAAGACTTGCCTGCATTTGAATTTAATGGAAACACTTAGTCTATTCTCAGTTGATGTAATTACAGATCTGTTGGAGGTTAAATCTTTGTGATAATAAAATGACAAAAAAGGCTGTGCCTTTTTTATGTGTTGATTTCTTTCCTCCTTTTGAATTGATTTAATTTTTCAAAAATTTTTCTCTGTTAGTTTTAGAGTTATAAATATTTTTTTCCATTATTTTAGTGGCTACCCTACTTTATCCAAATCTAAAGTTAAATTGTACTTATACTTTCTTCCCAGAGAGTGCAAGGACCCCATTTACCCCTTGCTGACTTTTGGGTTATTATTGTTGTTTACTTAAATTATAATATAACTCTAAGACTATAAATGTAAAACTATATTGTAACATATAAATATATATTTGAAGGCTAACACATATTATCATTGTTTATTCATTATTTATTTGGAACTACTCATATATTTATTAATTTTGTTGTTCTTAATTTGTTTCTATTTCTCCATCTTGTTATCTGGGATTCTCTGCCTTCTTCTTTTAAAATATCCTTCACTATATTCTTTAGTTTACTATGTTAAAGACAAATCTCAGTTTTTGTTTTTCTTTTTTTTTTTTTAAAGAAGGCCTTTTTTTTTTTTTTTTTTAAGATTTTATTTATTTATTTTCCCCCCAAAGCCCCAGTAGATAGTTGTATGTCATAGCTGCACATCCTTCTAGTTGCTGTATGTAGGACGCGGCCTCAGCATGGCCGAAGAAGGAGTGTGTCGGTGCACGCCCGGGATCCAAACCCGGGCCGCCAGCAGCGGAGCACATGCACTTAACCACTAAGCCACGGGGCCGGCCCCTCAGTTTTTGTTTTTCTATAAGTGTTTTATTTTGTCTTTTTCCAGAAGATATTTCTGCTTTGAATACAATTCTTAGTTTTGTCATTATGTCCTTTCAGCACAGTAAAGCTATCTTTCCATTGTCATTCAGCTTCCATATTTCTTGTTGAGAAATTAGATATCAGTTTAATTTTTTTCTTTTTGATGCTTTCTTTCTTTCTTTCCTCCCTCCCTTCCTTCTTTCCTACCTTCCTTCCTTCCTTCTTTCCTTTCTCCCTTCTTTTCCTTCTCTCCTTTCTTCCCTCTTTCATTCTTTCCTTTCCTTCCTTTCTTCCTTCTCCCCTTCCCTGCTTCCTTCTCTCCTTCCTCCCTTCCTTTCCTCTTCTCCTTCCATCTCTCCTTCCTCTTTTTACCCCCTCCTGACTGCTTTCAAGTTTTCTTTTTGTCCTTTTATTCCTTTCTTTTTTTGTGATTTTAGTATCATCAGTGTAGATGTGGAATTCTTTTTTGTCATGCTTGCAATCCACTGAGTTTATTGACTCTATGGAGTAGTCATTCATCAGTTTTAAATTTCTTAGTCATTTTCAATTCTGTATTGCTTCTGCCCATGTCTCTCTTTAACTTCTGTGATACTAGCTAACTGCCTTTTAAAATTATTTTTATTGTATTCTCATGGTCTCTCTCTCTCTCTTTTCTTCAAAATTTTGCCTCTTTGAGATTTCTTTCCTGGCATTTATTCTGCTTACTAATTTTTTTTCTTTAGCTGTTCCTAAGATGTGTATTTTCAAACACATCCATTGAGTCCTTAATATTATTTACTTTTCAGTTTTAGAATTTTTCTTTTGATCTTTTCCAAATGTGCTTCGCCCTTTTTAAAGATATGTTCCACCTCTCTGCCAAAATATCTCAACTTGTCTCTTGTCTCCCTGAATCTAGTAAGTATGATTACATAAAGCTAGTGTCAGGAGATCAACTGGGCTGAGAAAGAGAGAGAGTTGAACTGCTAGGTGTCAGAGTAACCAATTAAAATAACTGCCAAAAGTGAAAGAGTTAAGCCTTCCATCACTTACTGTGATGGTATAAGTAAGAGACCAAACTGGAGAAAGTATCAACTCCTCCTATTTCATTTCCCCCATAGGATGGTGCACTGGTTGAAAGTCACATGGATCAGTGCGAGGTGGGGGGCATCTCACTGTTCAGGGAGCCCCAAACAAAAAGCCCTGGTGTTTTTATGGACCCTGTGGTCTGGGAGAGGCTTAGGGGGAATGGATAAGGAGTAGAAAAGTACTGAGTACCAATCACAGTGGGGACAAGCATCTCCAAGCTTTCCTCCTCCTCTTCCCATTAGGAAGCCTTGGCAGAGGTGCCTGAGGAGACCTCCTTTTGAGGCCTCAGAGAAAGAGACCTAGGAATGGAGGTGTCAAGAATGCAAATATGGGAAGAGCATGCCTGGCCAGAGAGGCCTGAGTCCTTGACTGAGTCCTATGGTCAGACCTGAAACATCACTCAGAGTGTCTTAGTCCATTTGGGCTGCTATAATCAAATACCATAGACTGGTTGATTTAAACAACACACATCTATTTCTCACAGTTCTGGAGGCTGGAAGTCTGAGAACAAGATTCCGGCAGATTCAGTGTCTGGTGAGGGCCTGCTTCCTGGTTCATATCTTCTCACTGTGTCCTCACAGGGCAGAGAGAGAGTGGGCTCTGTCTCTTCCTCTTCTTATAAGGGCACTAATTCCATCATGGGAGCTTCATCCTCATGACCTCATTTAAACCTAATTTCCTCCCAATGGCCCCATCTCCAAATACCATCACATTGGGGATTAGGGTTTCAACATATAAATTTGGGGGCGCACAAACATTCAGTCCATATCACACAAGTTTTTAATCGGAAGCTGACCTCCTCAGCTTATGCCTAGTAATTCCATTATCTGGAGCCATTGCTTGTCTGCTTTTATTATTGGCTGTTCCTTCTGGTCTCTTCTTTATGTTGTCAAATCTCCTCATTAGGCTAGTTACCTTTGATTTTTGAGCTATATATTTTATTTGAAAACTTATTTGAGAAAATAATTTGAGGCCTAAAATATCTTCTTCCAGTGCTTGAGGGAGCACCATCAATCTAATGTCCTTAATCCAATTTTAGGGATTGAGATTTTTGTGGACTAACAAGGTAGCTCAAAGTTCGGTTGTGGTCCTTATGAGGGCTTAATTATTTCTGGTTCACCTTCATTCCTAAAATGTGGCTGTTCAGGGTCCAAGTCCAAATTCCTGGGAAGGGGATTACCAAAATGCCAGCCTCAGTGGACTCTGGACTCAAACATTTGTCCCCCGAGGCTCATCCATCTGCAAAAAGTGGAGGTTGGCCTCTCATCATCTTCCTCTAGATTTGTGAATGGCCATAAGGCAAAGGCAGTTGCAAAATGTCAGGTGCAACTCTCTGGATTTCTGTTCTATCTGAGATATTGGCCTGGCAATTCTTCACTATAGTGTTAGCTCAAAAACACCTTCCACCAGATGTTGTTATATAAATAGAGAGAGAGAGAGCGAGAGAGAGAGAGAGAATCCTCACTTTGCATGGCTCCAGTATGCACAAGTTTTAATAACCGTGGTTTAGTTACATAACACCAGTACCCCAAAAATGTGGTTCAAATTTCAGCTACTGAAGTTTTATTAACTGTGATTGTGTGCAGGACCAAGTTCACCACAGCCTGTTCAGTCTGCAATTACTACATGAACAGCAAATGTGCATCATTTTTCTTTCAGAGCCTGTTGGTGATTTCTTGGTGTGTATCTGTTGTCCAGATCACACACACAAACAGCAAAGTGTTTAGTTGTGTTGCCTCCTTCTCTCCCCCTAAAAATGGATATCAAAAAGAGGGAGGGGCCAGCCCTATAGCATGGTGGTTAAGTTCGGTGCCCTCCATTTTGGTGGCCTGGGTTCACAGGTTCAGATCCCGGGCATGGACCTACACCACTCGTCAGCCATGCTGTGCCGGCGACCCACATACAAAATAAAGGAAGATTGCTACAGATGTTAGCTCAGGGCTAATCTTCTTCAAGCAAAAAAAGGAGGAAGATTGGCAACAGATGTTAGCTCAAGGCAAATTTTCCTCAGCAAAGAAAAAGAGAGAGAGACAGAATCACCCAAGAAGGATGAAAGTGCAGCAAAGATATGAAAAATGATGATGCTGGAAGTGACCTTGGTGTGACTAGGAGACAGCTGAGCGTGGACATGAGGACACCTCCACCGTGTGAGAGACTGTAGATGTGCGGCCAGAGGAACCGAGTGCAGGGGCTTATCAACATGAAGGAGGACAGGCTGAGGACGTCCTAGGGAAGGGCCATCCGTGAAAGCTTTCACACTACAGGAACTCAGACATTTCACCATATTGAAAGTGCAAAGAGGAGAATGCGGGAAGGTGATCTAAACGTAGAAGGAATATGAGAACCCAGCAAGTCAGACAAAAGATCTGATGCAAAGAAGGCAAGTGCTGTTCAAGTCTACTCTTCATAACAAAAAGAAATTAGACACTTAGTGTTTTTATTTACAGTATACTAAATAAATATTAGTTTTACTATTTTTAAATTTCTCTATACATCTTAAATTGAGAGTAAGAGAGCTTTTAACATTTTGACAAAAATTTTTGAATGTTGTGGATCAATTGTATTTTTCCCATTGATTAATAAGATTGCTTTTTTCAGTTTCAGCTTTCATAGTCATTTTATGGTCCTACACTACCCTGCAAAGGGAGGGCTGTGTGTGTGTATGCACGAGTGTGTGTGTGATTGCGTCAATAAATACTACACCATAACAGCAGTGTATTTGAAATGTGTGAATGTTGATGAAGAAATTATCTCATCTAAAATTACACGGTGTCTGTATCTACCAAGGCTGTCAAAGGTATCCTTGATATTCTACTCCCCTAAGTAAACATGGTTGTATTAATTATCTATGGCTGCATAACCACCACGATAAAATTTAGTGGCTCAGAACTACAACACTTATTATGCTCACAGATTCTGTGGGTCAAGAATGTGGACAGGGCACAGAGGGGATGGCTTGCCTCTGCTCCATGATGTCTGGACCACACGCATTGGGAGCCTACCCTGGGCAAGCAGGTGCGCCTGGGGCCTACCCGCCTCCTGGACCACCACATGCTCCTGGAGCCTACCCTGCTGCCGGCCCCTATGGCGTTCCTGCCGGACCAGTGGTAGGATGGAGTTAGTCATTCCATACACTTGATTGTGATCAGGACAAAGCTAACGAAGAATGCAGCAATTGCCTGGACTGGTGGTGCCAGCACTTTGCAGTGCTCTGGCTGGGGGCTGGCTCTGGCACTGACCTGCAGAGGGCTTCAGGGAGACGGAAGCTTTAAACTCATGCCTTAAAGCCACTTTTTCAAGGACCAGCCATGATGTATGTTGGTCCAATAGAAAACTGTTGTTTGTATTGAGTTTAGTACGTGTACTGTTAATATAAAGAGAAGTGAATTCGTCTTTTGAAGGCATCTGTAAAGCAGCTTTAGTATAAATCAAGTTAAAATCATAGTAATGGGGGAAGTTTTGGCCATTATTATTAATAAATACTGAGTACACAACACGTGCCAGCAATGTGCTTCTACACGGATGATCTCAGGTATCCTATAACCACCCCCTAAGATGGTGTTATTATCCCCATCTTCCATGGTGGGGATGGAGCAATCCAGAGTTCTATAACTTGCGCAGGGTCATGGAGGGAACATGTGGGGGAACCAAGGCGATCTAGTTTTAAAAAACTTTCTAAAGATTATTTTGCGATCTAAGGATTGAATTTTCATTTATATTAAAACACACTTTAGTAAATGAATTCTAAGTGTAAAACCTAACTCTGGGAGGCTCCAGACATGTCTCAGACAGATCCTTCCCTTTCAGATGTCTAGCCTAGTTGGGAGGTAGATGCAGACACGAGGAAAGAGTTCCATCACAGTGTGGGTCAGACCCTTTCAGGACTATGGAGAAGACGGCACAGGTAGCATCAGCGCAGAGAAAGCGTTGGGGGTGTGGGTGGCGCTGAGCAGGGCCTAGAGCACAGGTTAGTCAGGTGCAGACAGAGGGGGACACGGAGGCTGTGGAAAGGAAGATGCAGATGTGGGAGAGCTTGCAGAGGAAGAACCCCAGGATCTGGTGGGGAAGTCGTAGGAGTCAGAGACGACTCTGGCTTTTCAATGCTGGACAACTAGAGCACCAGCCAAGGGTCAGTCCAAACTGGGAACTCAGGAAGGAGACCTGAAGGGGGCGAGACGGGGGAGACAATTCCAGTTCCCGCCTGTTGGATTTGCGGCACCGGGAGCAAATCCAGGCAGGAGGAAGTACAGGACTAGCACAGATCAGGGCTAGAGAGAAAAGACTTGGGTGATAGTTGAACCCAGGGGGAAATTATAAAGGGAAAAGAGAAGAGGCCAAAGAGAGCTCTGGGAGTATTCACAGCACCTGGAACACAGAGGGTCAATAAATATTTGCAGAATGAACTAGGGAAGGTACTAACTGGAAAGTGTCCGTTCCGCGAATATCAAATATCTGCCACATTCAAAGCACTCTGCTGGTGTCACGTGAGTAGACAGTATGAGAACTCAGAAGCCCTAGAACATGACACAATGCCTGCCGTCTGGGAGCAGAACCACCACCATGAAGTATGTTATGTGACAAGGAGTCTTAAGAGTGGCACAAAAATGTTAATGCTGACTGTGAGGTCTGGCTTAAGCCTTTCTAAAAAACAGTCTAAGTGAATGAGTTATAGATTGGGATGGCCCTAGTAAGGAGAGATACAGTGCTCCAAAAGGGACTATGTTCTGCCTTTGGCACCAATTATAAGTTGTGCACGTGGGCAGCCTTATCTCTTCAGGCCCTGGGCAAGGGGGACTGAGAGTCTGGAAAGATGGCTTGCATTAGGGTTATGTATTAGTCACCCATATTAATAGTGATTGAACTTTAGCAACATCCTTTTCTTTCTTTCCCCAAGGAAACATGATTCTTTATTGATACATGTATATTTTTTATTCCCAGGCTGTGCCTTATGACCTGCCTTTGCCTGTAGGAGTCATGCCTCGCATGCTGATAACAATTCTGGGCACAGTAAAGCCCAACGCAAACAGGTAAACAGCAAGATTAGCAAGTCTGACATATTTGTTGATTGGTTTTTCAATAAAGGATGATCTATGTTGAATTTTAATAGAATTTTTAAAACTGCATATTTAGAATCTTGGCTATACCATAGTATGGTATTATTCCATAAATCAATACATGTTCCCAATAAGGGGACAACATTTCCCTCACTAAATTTTGTTTTCCCGAACCAGGATAAAATGGAGTTGTAATTTTTGAGGACAAGGAGGAAGAGTAGAAAAACCCATTCTGTTGGTTCTTCCTGGCAGTGAAAGCCTTAGAATTCAAGGAAAAGTAGAGCTTTTGTAATGCAATGTGTGGCCATCCCTCCATCTCTGAGCCACATATTGTCTAAAAACCCAAGCATGCACTTTATGTCTACACACCCATCAAAACTCAGGCTCAAAATCAAAAAGATCCCACTGGACATGGTTCTGAGTTGATCTGAGAGCTTGGCTGTTATACCACTCCGTGCTCATAGTCGTAGAAATCTCGCTGCAGTTGTGCAGGTCGCAGTGCAGTCGCAGACCTTGCGAGCTCGGCTGTCATTTCCGTCTTCATAGTGGGTGCAACAGCAAAGTCACAGATTCCTGTGGTGTCGGCCTGGTCTACAGATGACAAGGGCAGGATGGGGAACCCCAGCCTTCTGAGTAGACACTATTTACTTAAAAGATTTGAACAGATTCTACAGGTTAAAAGACTTCCTCAAAATAAATCAACGTTTGCCGTTGGAACTGGTTTGATTGAGGTGAGCTAGGATGGGGTAAGACTTCAAGCTAACTTAGGAAAATCCATGCTGATTCATGGCTGCCCTGGGACGCCTGGCCCTGGTTATCACCACTGGTTCTACTTACGTGTAGAACAAGAAGGCTGAGGGTATCCTGACGCTGTCCAGTATGCCCATCCCCGAGGTTAGTGGTACCATTAATGCTCCTGCAGCCATTAATTCATCTGTCTTTCTGGGTCTTGTAGACAGTACACAAAAGGTACAAATTCAAGGTATGTACACAGGTTTCTTCAGTAATCCACACACAGACTCTATGAGTGTCTGTTCCTGGTGAATCAAAGGGAGCCACCTCCTCTGTTACCAGGAGATAGACTCAGCTTCTGATCTGATCATTTTACCCTCAAATAGCCCATTCACTCCAACCTCCAGCCAGCCTCCTCTGGTTATCCATGATGGTCACTACCCTAAGCCAACTCTTCCTTCCACATGGCCTATGCAGCTTCTGTAAGCCCAGTTCTTCCCTGCACAATGAAGCTTGTCTCACAGCAAATTACAAAACATATATATCCTCTGCCTATGTCCTTATCCATCTTTCCTCCCAACATAACATAGAACCCAGCACACCTTATCCTGCCCACACAGTGTTCACGATGTGTTAATATCTGCTCTCCTCCTCCCACAACCCCCATCGCACAGACCACACTGGTATATATATCTTTGCCTTATATAGGGTTATTGCACTGGAAACTAGCTCCAGTAACACTAGCGATGTAGACTGACACTGTGGCAGATCAAAACCAATTTTGGTTGAAATGGTTAAGGTGCTAGTAAACTGAAAAGATTATTGCTTGGTCCTGCAAATTCTGTGTGAGGAATTACATGAGAAAAAGAATGCTGAGGGCGGGAGGGATGACAATATCTTGCTTTTCACAGCAGAGAAAATATAGCCTTTGGATATTTAGTCAAATACAAATTCTATGGCCATTTGACTATCTTGGTCCTTTCCCCGTGAATTTAATCATTGGAAGATTCACCCGATATAATCATATAACGGGTTGTATGTGCCCGTTACTGGGTGAACCAAAATACCCAGGGAATCATTGCTAATAGGTCTAGAGTGCAGACTTTGCTTTAAAACAAGAGCACCTGCTGATTCTCGTGCTAGTGCTAGATCTATGGACTTCACTGAGAAACTGAGGGCAAGGGCTAGTACTCCAACAGTCAGGACTTGTGTTTCCCTTAACATCCAAGTAGCAGGAATGGGGTCAAAAAGGTAAGCCAGGGGCTGGCCCGGTGGTGCAGCAGTTAAGTGCGCGCGCTCCGCTGTGGTGGCCCGGGGTTTGCAGGTTCGGATCCCAGGCATGCACCGCTGCACCGCTTGTCAAGCCATGCTGTGATGGCGTCCCGTATAAAGTAGAAGAAGATGGGCATGGATGTTAGCCCAGGCCAATCTTCCTCAGCAAAAAAAAAGAGGAGGATTGGCATCAGATGTTAGCTCAGGGCTAATTTTCCTCACAAAAAATAAACAAATAAATAAAATTGTTTAAAAAAAAAAGTTAAGCCAGCACTTTCATTAATTCTACTTCACATCATGGAATGTTTAACACATTTTTGTCACGACTTTACAACTTAGCAACAGGATACAGAACATTAGCTACGTTATCTTGTTCTTGCTGTTTTAGGATTAGGCTTTTGGTTAACTACGAGGAAGCCAGGTACTTGATAGCTCTTATTTGTGTGACTGGTTTGCCTTTAATAGGTGTTAAAAGCAACCTGGCAGGGCAGGAAGGAGGCAACCATTACTATCTGCAATGTAAAGCATAAAGCCCCCTCAAAGTGGCCCTAAACCTCTATAAGAAAACCTTGAAGAGTGTTGCTGAGTAGAGGCAGTAAGGAGGGAATTACAGCTGAGTGGAACGACGTGACCAAGACGAGGCAAAAGAGCTCAACACACTGTCTTGCTTACTTTTAGATACTACGGCATGACATGCAATACTTGGCCTAGTGTCCTTTCCAGTTTGCTTCCCGGTTAGAAAATTTTCCTGCATTTTATAAAATGATTTGCTGTTTAGAAAAGTATATGTTCTTCACTTGATGCAAATGCACAACTTGACTCATTTTACTAACTCTGGTCTTTGGCTTAAAACAGATTTGCTTTAGATTTCAAGAGAAGGAATGATGTCGCCTTCCACTTTAACCCACGCTTCAATGAGCAGAACAGGAGAGTCATTGTTTGCAATACAAAGCTGGATAATGTCTGGGGAAGGGAAGAAAGACAGATGGTTTTCCCATTTGAAAGTGGTAAACCATTCAAAGTAAGTTATTGCTGCTATTCTATATTGATAATGTATGCTGCTCCTGGGGAATCACTCTAAACCACAATGCGCTTGAAGGGAATTTTCCTCAGCTGTCCTGGGACGCCTAACTGGTACATCTCCTCCCCATCCCAGGGGGCCAGGCTTAGCAGGCTGGAACACGGCCAGGAGCGGCTGTGGTGCCTGTTACCACCACTCTGAGTTCCAGCTTTTCTGGAAATGAGAAAAATATCATCTTTACCAAAAAAGGCAGAAAGTCTTTGTGGTACGGTTGGACTGAGACTTAGTTCCTTAAAACAACACAGTTGGCATGGCAATCAAAACTAAAAATTTTAATTCTAAAATCAATACATGCCTGTTTTATGAAAAAAATTACAGATTTTTAAATTAACTAAAAAGTCCTCCATCCTTTATCCCTTCCCCCATCCTCACAAAGGTTGCAACTTGGTGAATATCTTTCCAGTATTGTCTATGACATACAACACACTTTTTATTTTTAAGCACTGCTTCAACAAATATTTATTAGGTCCACCATGCTGGTTATGGTCCACTGTGGAGCGGGCAGTAAAACAGCTGGACTGTTAGCTCCTCAAGGGTAGGGACACATAGGGACCATGTTCTGCCATCTGGTGGACACCTTTTCACATCAGAACATTGTTACTCAACAGTATTTCATTGTTTAGACATGTGATAATTCAACCAGTACCCTATGGATGAAAATTTGGAGTACGGAAATATTCCAAACAAATAAAACCTGGAAATGTTATTTATTTTACTAAAATACTGTAATAACTATCCTTATAAATCTTTGCTTCCTAGAAGAACAATTTTATTCTAAGAATATAGATGTTTAAAATTTAGAAAAGATATCGCCCAAGTCCTGCTTCCAAAGGATTAACACATCTGCTAACTACTGGAAGGGGACGTCTTCCCTACTCTCGCCAAAACTACTTATCATCAGTCTTCAGAACATTTGCCACTCTATTAGGGGATTCCTACTGTGGTGTTTATTTTTTACTTTTAGGTGTTTTAGGCCATACAAAAACTTTGTTCTTATGTGTTTTCATGTAAATTTTTTGTTTTTATTAATCTTTTCCTTTATGGCTTCAACTATATATTTTTCTAACAATTTTATCATTTTGTGTAAATCTTTGAATAATCTAGGGTTTGCTGTAAAGTTACTCTTTCTGGACTTGAATCAGTTCCACAAATGATCATAAAGATGATATGTTGGGCATCCTGAGCTCAGGCCAGACTGGTTTTGAAATTAATGGGCGTTTCTAACAGTTCTGTGTATGTGCCATTTCAGATACAAGTCCTGGTTGAAGCTGACCACTTCAAGGTTTCCGTCAACGATGCTCACTTGTTGCAGTACAATCATCGGATGAGAAATCTCAGGGAAATCAGCAAACTGGGAATTTCCGGTGACATAAATCTCACCAGTGCTTCGCACACTATGATATAATCTTAATGGGGCAGATACTTTTTAAAAAAATGAAATTCAATGTAAACTTTACACATTCAAAGTTTTCATGTTTAACACGAGTGAAAAATTTTACCTTTATTCATCAATATCCTTCTTATAAATCATCCACTAAATAAATATTCTAATATTCTGTCTTTATATGTCATTTAATTGGGGCAGTTTATTCTCAATAATGCAAAATGGAAAAAGAAATATGTAGCAATATTAATGCTGTGTTAGAGTCTCCCAAAGTTTTCTATACTTGCTAAAATATTTTTTAAGACAGGAAATAGGAGTAAATACTACCCCAGAATTAACCTCTCTCTTGCTGGGTTTCATAAAAACCAGGAGATGCTACAAGAAAATCATTCTCCCATTTTCTTACTGAAGGAAATAAAATCTATTCAGGAAATGAGAAAAGCAGAACGAGTTTACCCATAGATGACCCGTGACCCATAGGCAATTACTGTTTGCATGCTGATGTATCTCCTTTGACTCCTTTTAAACCCTATTTCATGTCTCTAACCTATACTCCACTGCTTTCAAATCAGTATTGGATACCAATATGAGACTATCTCTCTGTAGGTTTTCTTGG